CTGAATGCTTTGCTGCTTAGAAATTTCTTTGGTCAAATGCTCTGGTTCACAACTCTTAAGTCTCACCTTTCACAAAATCCAAGGGCATGGACACAATGCAGCCAAATTCCATGCTATGGTGTAGCAGGGGTGATCTTTTGTCCAATTCCTAATAAGTTCCTCATTCCCATCTGAGACCTCATCATCCGCATGGCCTTTACTGTCCGCATTTCTATCACCATTCTGCTCACCACTACATAAGTCTCTAAGACATTCCAAACTTTCCCTAGTCTTTTTCTCTTCTTCTAAGTCCTCCAAACTCCTCCAACCTTTGTCCATTACCCAGTTCCAAAGATGCATCCACATTTTCAAGTAGCTGTAAAGCAACACCCCACTCCTTGGTACCAATTTTCTTTTTCTTTTTCTTTTTTTTTTTTTTTTGTCTTTTTGTCTTTTTTCCGTGTCTGGCAACGGATCACAACCCTCNTCATGCCTTTGCCGCCATAACTCAGAGTAGGCTGTTAGAAGTAGCCATGCAGCGTCCTGAAATGCTTTGCTGCTCAGAAATTTCTTTGGTCAAATGCTCTGGTTCACAACTCTTAAGTCTCACCTTCTACAAAATCCAAGGGCATGGACACAATGCAGCCAAATTCCATGCTATGGCATAGCAGGGGTGATCTTTTGTCCAATTCCTAATAAGTCCCTCATTCCCATCTGAGACCTCATCATCCGCATGGCCTTTACTGTCCGCATTTCTATCAGCATTCTGCTCGCCACTACATAAGTCTCTAAGGCATTCCAAACTTTCCCTAGTCTTTTTCTCTTCTTCTAAGTCCTCCAAACTCCTCCAACCTTTGCCCATTACCCAGTTCCAAAGATGCCTCCACATTTTCAAGTAGCTGTAAAGCAACACCCCACTGCTTGGTACCAATTTTCTGTTTTAGTCCGTTTTGTGTTGCTATAACAGAAATACCTGAGACTGGGTAATTTATAAAGAACAGAGGTTTATGTGGCTTACGATTCTGGGACAGCTGCATCTGGCATGGGCCTCAGGCTGCTTCTACTCATCGTGGAAAGTGGCAGGGAGCTGGCGGGTACAAGCAGATCCCACGGCGAGAGGAAGCAAGAGGAGAAACACTGTTCTTAAAGCACAGGACCCCCAGATCCAGACAAGGAGCTGCTGTAATAACGCCAGTGTGCAATTATTTACTGAATGAGTGCCATGTGGGAGTGTGTTCTAAGCAGTCTACA